CATGCCCTCTATCAGAGCAAAAAGTCATCCGCACCATCATTATAAATCAAAACTCCCTTTAAAGTTCTTCTGCTCTTTAGTGAGAGAGAGAACGAGAGAGAGAGGATGGGCGGGGCTAGGGGTGGGGCCAGCTGAAATCTGATTGGCCCATTCAGTGGCCCTGTGATGACATGTTATTGGCAACGAAACGCCAAACCAGAGACCATCTGGCTGAAACTACAGCATCCAGCTGAACGAGCTCGACCGTGCAGGCCAGTTTGAACTATCCTGCATGAACTACAAATCCTGTGAACTCGAGGGGGATGTGAACCACAAAACCCCTTTGAATTCCTGCTCTGAATTCTCAGTCATACACCACAAACAGCAAGGTGTTCAGTTGTAAGAAGTTCTTTTAAACCTCAGTTGCTCCTTTAAACTAAAGGGCAGTCGCTGAAGGGCATTCAGAAACATAGATTCCAGTCTGAAACATCCAGAATTAGAAAAAGTAGAAAGATATGAGAAATCGAGTCCATACATGTAAATTGATAATTATTTTAATGTTAATAAAATAGTGATAAATGACCAGCATTAAAATTCATTACTGTTTTGTCCAAATAAAGATAAAACACTTTTAAAACATTTTGTTTTAAATTCTACAAGTGAATTTTGATGTTTATTTTTAAACATTACATTTTAAGCGTTTCATTAAATTATTAGTGTTTTTAAACATCACCTTTGAGTAAGCATTAGAATAATGCAATTGTGATTTAAATTTAAAAATAGAAATGAACATGCACAATTAAATATCCAATATCAGTTGATATAAAAATATAATCTGATAAAAAAAAAATGCTGAAGCTTTAATTGTTGTGTCTTAAAGGGTTGGTTCACCCTAAAAAGTAAAATTTTGTAAATTTACTCACCTCATGTCATTGCAAACCTATACGAATTTCCTTCATCTTCGAAACACGAAATAAAGATGTGCAAGAATCATCAAGCAAGCATGGTTGAGCTTCTTTTTATTATATTTGATGTGTTTTATTGTACTGTATGTATGTGCATTGATCAATGTTTATATGTAAATAAAAGTTGTTAAATCCTCAGAAGATACAAAATTAAATCACTCAGTTAATATGGATTATATTACATTTCTTTTATGAACTTTTTGAAGCTTAAAAATTTGGGTTGTGTGGAATGTCAATGGATGGACAAAAACGATGATAGAATATTAGAAATATCATCATTTCTGTTCCGAAGATGAACAAATGTCTTATGGGTTTGCAATTCCTGGTGAAATGAGTATGTATTTTACCAAATGTCCATCAACCACGCGGCATTGAAGCTTAAGTTATTTGTTCCCTTATAGTGAAGAGGGAAACATAAATAGAGGTCAGTTGTTTTTCCCCCTCTCTACATGCCACCAAAAGTGCACTAGGAGGAACGTGAGGTATAAAAAAAGGAGAGATGGAGTGATCGAGATAGGAAGAGACACAGGAAGGAACGGAGAGAGGGAGATGGTGGGGGAATACATGGTCGTGTCTTTCTAATTGTGTGTCATTACTGTGAGACTCCCTGATTTGAGGGTTCAGGCAGACTCTCATTTAGAGAGAGAGCGAGGTTGCTGCTCTCATTACTGGACACACAGAGCTGCAGGGGTTGATGGGAGCTCGTAAGGTCATGCCATGCCAGACAGAAATTGCCAGAACGAGACTGAGGCATGGAAGCATTTCTGTGCCATAATTTATAGCCAAACTCTACCAAGTATGTACGGCACCCTGCAGCACAATCGAGTCAAAAACTGCCATATGGCATTATAGATAATAGGAGAGAGAACGAGAGTGACAGCAAAGCGCGTGTGTTGCAGGAGGGATCTCATATCAGCACGTACAGTAACGCAGTCTACCGCACTCTTACAGGAAGTTTAAATTGGCTGACTTTACTTGTCGGTCTCAATCAAATGTGGATCCATCGACAGCGGCCCCCGAAAGTATTCACACACTTCAGCCACACTTGAAATTCAGCATTGCATTAAATAACAACACGTCACACTAAGTGGCATATCATTTAAAGAAAGACAACCCAAGCATTTAAAGAAGTCCATGAACTTTTGATATAAAAGAGTTTCTCGAACTATGAAAACAAACTGTAACATTTACGTGTCAAAACTTCCTGCCCCTGTAGGATAAATGCTTTTATTGAGACTAATCTGGAAAAATGCTTGGCAACACAGGGAGGTGTATATATATATGCATGGCCGCCCACATTTACACGCCAACGCCACCCATTCAGTGTTCAGATACCTTATCTTCTCAGTCGTGGTGAGATAATGAAGTCGGATAGATTGTTTTTGAACACTAACTGCTAAGTATGAGAGTAAAATAAGGGGAAGTCGGTCAAATCCTGTGTGACTGTGTGTATTAGAGTCATGATGGTCTAATTGTCCAAAAACGTACAAGTTGACCAGTTTATGTAGATTTATTTCTTGTTTTTGTTTTTTTGCTGCAGTGCTTTAATTAGCGTGCAACAGTGCAACAAATAGCCAGTATTAATGATATGCTAGTTTGTCTAAATACTTTATGAAAAATGGGTATTGACTTTGGTTGAGTTATTCTTAGTATTCTTAAAAATAAATTTAAATGAGCATTAGATGATGGAAAAAGTTATTTAAATATAAAATAGTGGAAATGAACATGCACAATTAATACGTCATAAACAGTACCATCAGAAGTTTGGAGTCTAAAATATTTTAATGATTTCGAAAGAAGTCTCTTATGCTCACAAAGGCTGCATTTATTTGCTCAAAAATGCTATAAAAACAGTAATATTGTAAAATGCTGTATCATTACAATCTAAATAAATGTTGTAATTTATTCCTGTGATGCAAAGCTGAATTTTCAGCATCATTACTCCAGTCTTCAGAAATCATTCTGATATGATGATTTTATTGCTCGAGAAACATTTTTTTCAAGATTATTTGATAGAAAGTTCAAAAGAATAGCATTTATTTGAAGTAAAATATTTTGTCTTTGTCACTTTTGACCAGTTAAATGCATCCTTGCTGAATAAAAATATACATTAAAAAAATGAATAAATAAATAAATACTGACCACAATCTTTTGAAGGTTAGTGTAAATAACTAAAGACTGACCCCTAAAAAACGCGATTGGGAATTCATAGTGCTTTACCTGTGAGTCAGATTGCACTGTAAAACTCTCTTGGAGAAGCTGCATCTTTTAATTTCTCCTTTTTAAAGCACCGCTGCTACAGTCACACACATTCAAGCGTACGTCTTTGACCAGTGTCTCAGTATGAGCATTGCATTTTTAAGATGCTATGACAACTTTTAAAAAGTCGTCTCAAGACCCCTGCATTCTGTCATATTCCGTCCAACTGTTTTTGAATGCAAGATAATCATTGCAATTACTGATGAAAACACCCCCAAAGAAACGTGTCCTGTTGGTGACAGGTTAATCTGAAACCAGCCTAATTATACAGATTATCCTTAAAACCAATTAAGCTAGTCATTCAGGCAACCTACCCACTACTTTTACATATTTGTTTAAATTCATAGTTTTGCGCGTCCCTAGCGTGCATCACCTGCCACTCTGTATATTTTTCTAAAGGATCCAAAATGATGGCTGAAGTTTGTAATCTCTAAAAAATAAAAAATGTTGGATTATGTTTCATAATTTATATCTGGTACTCTTGGCGTGAATGCTCTGCACATTGATTGGTAAATTGACTTGCAGCCAGCTACAGATTGCACACACATCATGGGTTCTTTAAGGAACTGAAAAGCTAATGAGTGAATAGCGGAACCCCTGACGGTCATCCTCAGATGCCCACTGATTAATCAGCATTATACATACTAGAGTGGCCACACATTGGTTATGCTGAAGTAGCTAATTAGGTCATTAAGTGATTAAGATTAGCATATGGTAAAATGGATCATGCTAAACAATGAAATAATTGAGGAACTGACTAGAAGCATGAACATATTCTGCACTGTAAAATCTAAATTAATTACTTAAAAGAGAGAGTTCACCCAAAAATGAAAATTCTGTCATCATTTATATTCGCCTTGTGTTCCACAAAAGAGAAATTTTGAATAATGTTTACGCTGCTCTATTCCTCATTAGAGCTCAAAACCATGTACAAACAAGCATGGTTCCTTCAGAAAATGTTTGTGGTTTAGGGGGAACTTTTTTCAAACGTGACATTTCATTTCCGAACTGCAGAGATATGTGCATAAACCAATGTAGTAAAATGTTGGCTACTTTATTTGTTTCAGAGAAATTTGAATGCGCTTTTTAGTGCCACTCATTGGACATTTCACTTTGAAAATGCCATGAAATATGCGAGAAGCAACGTAATATCATGTCAAATGTTTTTCAAAATATCTTTTGCTTTCCACAGAAGTCACACAGGTTTGGATTGACATGAGGGTGAATAACTGATGACAGAACTCTCATTTATGGGTAGACTGTTCCTTTAAAAAAGCATGCAAACTGATCGCCTTAAAATATCTAAGCAAGCATCGTTATTTGAAGTAAAGTGGACTTGTGTGTCTTTTTTACACATACACACTCGCATATGTGCATATACTGTACACCTGATTGACTGGCAGACTGACTGACTGTTTAACATAAACACGAGTTTCCTTGCTGCGTAGTCATAGATCTAAGACACACACTCATTTGACCAGGACTCTGCTGGTAGAATGATTGCATGGTCATTTGATCACACATGCACACACATGCTCTTTACTGGTACTGTGGGCATTTTTCCATATGTCCCTGTTTATAATGTAGGGCATCTGCTCGAAAACCTCCTGTTCACTTTAGTTAAGCAGCCATCAATCACTCAGACAAAGAAAGAGAGCTTTGTGTGTGTTTATGTGCATTCGGAGGAAGACAGAGTATGCGATTGTGTGTTTCTAATGACTGAGTGGCATTGTTGAGTGTTTATGTAAGTTTAATGAGACAGTGGCTGTATAGTGCTTTATTTTTAATAAGGTAAAGATGTTCAGAGAAGGTAGGCCATATATAACTATCTCTCTCTCTGTGTGTGTGTGTGTGTGTGTGTGTGGTAGAGGGAAAGAGGACAGATGCATTAAGCTGCTGTAGGAGGCATTAGCTGCGCAATTCTCAAGAGTATTGTTACAGGATTTATATCCTATGCTGTCATGCCTCTGTTACACATTGCACTGCTATGGGCACTTCGGATATGTGGACGTTTAGAAAGTAAACTGCCCTAAAATACACTTTTAACACTCTCGATTTTTTTTTGTAATATGTCCAACAGAGTGTAACACAATGTAATTTTCAACACATCTTATATTATTTATTGTGTTTAATAGCAGTGTGGCGGAAATTATTGTTATTATTATTATTAGTTTTTAGAAAATGGTTGACAAAGCTAGCATTTGTGTATCCTAAGTAGACATAATAATATTTTTACATTTGTAATGGATTTCATAGTTTAAGATTGAAAGTCTGCAACAATAATAAAACAAAATTGGTATAGATAAAAACTTAGCTGAAACAATTATGAAATTTCAAGGCACTTTTAATATGATTTTCATGTGTGACATATTTTAAACTCTAGGCGCTTTAAAAGTGCCCGAAGTTAAAGAAACACCCACACGTTTTCTTTTTTTGTCGGATGATTAAATGGTTGCATGGTCAAACACCCACAACAGTCAATAATCTCTATTAAATATTATGGATTCGTTTTTCAGCATCATCGACTTCATTACACAGACATGATTCAGAGACCAGCTAGACTGTCAAGAGATACGAGTGATCATTACATCTGGGTTCAGCTGGATCAGTTTCTCTGCTTTTTGAGCTGCAAAACTTATTTAAAAAAAAAAAATGTTCCTTAATTTCAGAAATATTCTATGTTTAACATTTGATGGTTATTGACAACATGACAACATTCACAACTCATTTAACATTGGCCGCACAGAATATATTACATAAACCCGTCACTGGCCCACAGTCCGCAGTTTGTCAGAGGTACAAACACAAGACAACGTGCTTTTGTGTTTATCTGTAGTATTTTGTTAATTGTTGGACTATGCACACATGCTAATAGAAGTCTTTTGGACCATGAGCGCCACATATGAAGTTAAAAGTTGGTCATACTTGACGCTGCTTGAGATCTTTGCGTTCGGTTTTCTTCTGTTGCTCTCCATCTAGCTGTCTTTGAGCACAAGAACACGTCCTGTGCTGAATGTTCTCAGTTGGTTTGGAAAGAAGAACATTATTACTATTTGATAAGCGATTATAAAAATAAATTTTTTTTGAATAATGTGCAAGGATGCATCTTTTGCACGGGAACACCAGTGACATTTATTAAGAAAATAAACAGGGTCACTTTTGATTTCCGGTTATTTTTTAATTGCAACACTGTGTGCAACAAAAGTGACCTTTAGCTGTAACATTAACATTCTCTTTGCTTGCTCTGTGTGTGTCCTTCCTGCTTTAGGTACTCGCGTCAGAGAGGAACTCCATGGCTAATGTGAGACGCTTCTTCAGCGAGTCATATGTTAAATTATATATAATATATTAATATTGATACATAATGACAATATTTTGGCCAAATTGTGCAGCCCTACAATATATATTCTTGTGTGTGTGTGTGTGTGTGTGTGTGCTGTCAAATCTCAATGGAAATGATTGTGATGGCGATGGTTAAATACTGGATCCTGACTGGATGATGATTTGGCATCTCTTAGGGCTGGGCGATAAACAATATCACATTGTGAGATCGTGATAAAATTGATGTGGATAACAGTGATAAGCTCTGGACATTTTTACTCGATGTGGATTAATCTAGCAGCAGAAATAAAAGTGAAAGCAGCCGGTCAGTGCATGCCGCTAATAACTCTCTTGTGTGAATGAATGGCGCGGTTTCGTCTTGACACACAAACTCAAACAAAACATGACGCTCACGGTGTTTCGGTGTCTGTGTCTCAATACATGAGGACATGAACACATGAACTTCATCTCCAGAGCTGCTCTGAGAGTCACTTTTGACTTTCATCTGAGAAAAACTACCATCAAATACACACTGGAACTGAAAGTAAAACTGAAAGACCTTCATGACAACCTGAAGTCCGGTTTCACTTGAAGAAATGATGACAGAAATATGTTACTACTGTATACTTAAATATAATTCTCAAGTAATAATAATATTATTATTTGTAAAGGGGTCATGAACTGCCTTTTTTTATTATTTTGTGCTGTTCTCTGAGGTCCACTTATAATGTTATCAAAAGTTTTACATTAAAACATCATAATTTATAAGTAATAGGCTATTTTCTGTCCTGTTTTGACCCCCTCATCAGAACGCTCTGTTTGAATAGACGTGGTGGATTGTCGACTTGGAAGTAAACGCCCACTGCTGTGATTGACTAACAGTTGTGTTTGTTTGACAGCCTACAGCCTTCACAGATGGACGCTGCTGTGATTTAGGTTAAATACTCAGTATACGATCTGTAATAACAGACAAAGCAATAGTGACCACATAATAAACACAGTTACTCACACTTGTCTTATTGTCTTCGGAGCATCTTTATAGTTTGATTTCTGTGTAGACCTGCGTTTGCCTCTCTCGTTATTTACAGTAAATGTGTGAATCGGTGGGCGGAGCTAAACAGGCAGTGATGTAGAATCGGTGGGCGGGGCTAAACAGGCAATGATGTAGATTCGGTGGGAGGAGCTAAACAGGCAGTGATGTAGAATCGTGGGCGGAGCTAAACAGGCAGTGATGTCGAAGCAGGCGTTGATCTTCTTCTGCGGAGGCGGGGCTTAGCCACACTATTAAGTCATAAAGTGGCACATTCCACAACCTGTCGTTTTGGCAGATTGGCTTCAATATAAGCTGTTTTTAAACTAAAAAGCAAGTTTTGAGTTCTGAAACTTGCAGGATGTTTTTATAGTACAATGACATCTTGTATGTCAAAAGATCAACGGAATTTTGATTTCTCAGTTCATGACCCCTTTAAGGAATATCATGCAACCAAGGTATTTTTTTCCCATTCATTTATACAGTTATACAGTGCTGTTGTGCAGCATCTAATTTGACAAAAAATAATGCAATGTTTTGTTGTAAATTAGTTATGATTGTATTGAATCATAAAACAGAATAAAAAAACCCCAAATAAAATAAAAAATTAAATGGAAAACAAAATTTAGGAGAAAATAAAAGATATTTCATGAAATTAAATTAAAATAAACATTATCTTTACATTCATTCTCAAGGCCTAACAAACATGTGGAAAGCATTTCCTTCCCCAATCCCCATTAATGGTAAATGAATATTGTGTTAAATATTGACATCATATGATATTGTCATAATATTTTTGGCCACATTGCCCAGTCCTAACATCTCTGCTGTCAGTACGTATGCTAATCAGAGGCAGCAGCAGAATATGAAATTAACTCATGCACACAGTCAAGTGTCATTCACATCCCTGAGATTAATTTCATAAGAGCGAGTGTGTGTAAGGGTGTCTGAATCTGTCTCTGTCTGTGTCTGTGTACGCATTAGAATGCAGTTTATTGTGTCGGTGTTTGTCTATGGCTATACGTCATGCGGGGAAAGGAGTGTGTTGCTACGGTAACAGGAAAAGGGTGGCGGTAAAGAATGTAATTTTTGATTTAAGTGTCTGTGTGTGTGTGTGATTTAAAGAAAGGTTATTACTGAGGGCATGATAACTAGATAGATGTGACTTTTGGATGCAGATATGAGATCTTTCTATTGTATAATGAAGAATAGTTTTGCTCACAATAACCATTCCTTTTTCTACATGCCGTCTCTCTCTAACACAATCCAAAAGCGGATTATTTTATGTTTGAGAGAGAGAGAGAGCGTGTGAATGAAAGATGAAGAACATTGTGTTTATGTTGAAATTTGTTTCATAGTTTGTTCAATGTAATATATTTCTCTCTCTCTCTCTCTCTTCGCAGTTTTAAGTCGTGCTCCAGTGCCGATGGCTGTGGTGCGTCGAGAGCTGTCGTGTGAGGGTTATCCGATCGAACTGCGCTGCCCGGGCACCGATGTCATTATGATCGAGAGCGCCAATTATGGGCGCACAGATGACAAGATCTGTGACTCGGACCCTGCTCAAATGGAGAACACTCGCTGCTATCTGCCTGATGCCTACAAGATTATGAGCCTCAGGTAGAGAGATACATTCACATGCTTTGTGCTCTATTGTCGTCGCACAGGTTGTATTAATGTGTGTGTGTATGTGTCAGTGTATGGCTAGGTACACACTACAGCTAAATGAGTCATTACATCAAGAAGAACCATTTGTGTCTGCAACATCTGGTGAAATTATAAACCTACTGTAATAAAAATGTTTTCATGCAATATTTAAAAAAAATGATGTGCATTTTTATGTGCAGGTAGCCAGTCATAGAAACAAATTCCAATTTAATTTGATTTAAAATATATAAAAAAAATACAGAAGAACTTGGATTACACACACAATTGTGCTGTGATAAACTGTGTACTGGTTTGCAGATTCACACTGGATCAGTCACATTTATATGAACACAGGATTTAATTTCATTGAATTTAACTGCGCCTGTGAATTTTGATTCCTGCCATCACACTGTTTATTTATTTTAAAAGAATAGGGAGGTAAATAATATTGTTTTATATTATTTCACATTAAATGACACGATGAAGAGGAAATTATAGCGTTTAGGTTTTCAACGGAGACAGGATCTACTCTCAACATTCTTTACATAATTAGTTTTTTCATGCTTAATAAGATTTCTCAAGCACAAAGAAACTGTTTTATACAATTAGTTCTATTTTTAGAAAATAATCATATTGTTGGCTATTGAATATGAATGATAGGAGGCCATAACATATAAGTCTTGTTATTGTTAACTAAAAGATAAAATATTACATTTAAAAAAAAATTTGAAATAAAGCTAAATTATAAATATTAGATAAAAAATGAAACTTAAAAAAACTTGTACTGGCAACTAACTGAAAAAAAAAATGTTAATGTTGAAAATGCTAAAATCATGAAAAACTTTGAACAGATTAAATTAAACAGAAATATAAAAAAAATGACAAAAGCACACAACAAAATTACTAAAACTTAAACTAAAATAAAAATGAAAGCTAATTCAAAATTTTAAGAAATACTGTAATAGTATATACAAATACTAAAATAATACTGGCCATAGGATTTTGAGAATCTCGTCACATATGCTTGGAATATTCAAACAATATTTTAGAATATTAAATATAAAGTATTTATTTTATATTAAAAAATAAAATATAAATTTAATTTAGCACATAGTAGCATGTGTCTGACAGAATGCTTAATATTTACTTTACAATGAACCTTTTCAATATGACCATATTTTACAACCAAATGCACAGCTGAAACATTCAGGCAGTGACAATCGCAGTTTCATTAAATCAGAGTAGTGTGTACAGACCCAAACTCAGCAGCTAGTTGGTAATGCGGTAATGCTGCTATTGAGTTATCACCATGTCAACTGTTGCAACTTGGAGTGAATCCTGCATTCCGTACACACATGGAATAATAATTTAGAGTATGTATTCCCACATTTAAATGTGGTTGTCACTCCCAAAACTTTGCAGTGTGTACGTGGCCTGTGTGTTAGGTTTCAGTTGAGCACGAAACTGTCAACACTTTGATTTGTAGGCATAATTAGCACATAAGAGCGTAATAAAAAAACAGGGAAAAGACATTTGCATCAAAAACAGGTGTTGCAGAACAATGCGAGCGTATATTTGTGCAGCGCTTTTTTTTTTTACACAGCGTGTGGAATTAATCAGATATAGTCATTTGAGATTGTCCACATTACATAACAGCCCAAACATATTAGCCATCCTGTTTGCATTTTTCAGAGTTGTTTGGCAGGACAAATGAATTCTTTGCCTCCAAACTGCACAGATGAAGCCGAGCTACGGAGAAAAACAGAACCCACGCAGAACAAAACCCCATTAGCTTCTGCATCATCACAAGAAACATTATCATTTCGGTTCCGGCTAATGTCGAGAGCACAGCCTGCTATCTCTCTGACCTTGACTTTGACTGGCGACGACAACCTGGCACCCCATGGCACAAGAAGAAAGATGTAGGGAAATGGACTATGCGTGAGAATAATCGCCAACCATGAACGGATGTGTCATGCTGCGTAACGGCATGTCTCGCGCTCATAAAAGATTCATAAAAGTGCCGGCTTCTACTGTATGTTTTTAACTGGACAGATTTGGTTATACAGGTTTTTCTTCATTCAGAATGACTCCCAGTGTGTGTGTGTGTGTGTAATCAGTGGAAACGTGTAAGCGAGAGAGCACCATATCCTGCCCTGAGGTTGCCTGTTATACCACCTGCCACACACACACACACACACGCACACACACACACACACACACACACACACACACACACGGCTTCAGGGTAGACCAGACTGTAAGATCCAATTAGCAATGCCATAGACCATGGCCCAGAGTCAATGTGGTGGAAATGACCAGTTATGAGTTCTCTTTCATACACACACGCACATATACCTGCTCACATTCTCTTGTGAGACTCGATTTAGATGATTACACGCTGGCAGGCCACTTTCATCAACACATGAGAGATAGATTTTTCAGTTTCTATAACTCTGAACTGCTAATGTGCTCAGATTGTAGCGGTGTGTAATTCCCATAGAGGAATTAGGAAACGTTCCATGAAACGGAAGACAAGAAAAAGATTTTGCCTTTTTTCTCTCTTCTCGGTCTTGCTCGGCTGCTTTTTATAGAAGCTGTGGCTGGAATCACACATCATTTATCATTCTCCACCTCATCTCCCGCTCTCGCTCTCTCTCTCTCTGTCACTCGCTCTCTCTCATTTTGTCTGACCTTTACATCTCACTCAGTTTGGGCTAATGTATTCACGGAGTGCGTGTGTGTGTGCCATGGCAGGCTAATGCTCTAATCAATGAGGGGAGGTAATTGGAAGGTGATTGTTTGGGAGCCCCTTATCCAAGATCTATTGGCAGACATAATATATTACACAAAGAGATTTCAACCAGCAGGTCTGATGCAATTCAGAGCAGAGCGAATAGAACTGATTTCAAATGTTGCATGCTAAACAGTTGTTCCAGAAATGAAAACGGCAAGAGAGCCTGTGATTGGTCAGGAGATTTGAGTTTCTCAAATTATTGATCATGTTACATTGCATGTGGAAATACTGTTGCTTTTGTTAAAAATTTCATCCAATATCATATTCATCCCCAATTCTGCAGTGTGAAAAAGACAATTCTTATTACTGTAATGCAAAAAATAAAAAAATAAAACATTTTGTTTTCAATTGCAGTATATTTGTAAAGTACAATTGTAAGTATACAGTACATCACAGTAGTATTTGTATTGAATTTGTACGTAATATAGGCTGATTTTAATAAAAACATCATTATGTAAATACACAAGGTGTTTAATTACAGTATTACTGTAATAAAATGACATTTTTTCACATTACAGAAAGAGAAGTTGGGGGTGAATGTGCTTAATTGTCATGCCAATAATGCCATTAATTAAATAAATATAATGTTGCATATAATATATCTGTTGTCTTATATAATATCTCATTTCTTATTATTTCTTTTGAATTTAGAGTCGAATATGACCAGGACATTGTGGTATTTGCCCTTAATCACCAATTAAATCAAAATTAGAGTCATTTATACGTCAATAAAAGTATACTTTCAGTATATATATATATATATATTATATTCAGTATATTTCAGTATATGCATGTACATTTACACATTTCTAATAAATAAAACTAGCAAAAGCATGTACTGTAGCAAATTCAATGCAAGTTCATTCATATTCGTTGGTGTGCTGCTCATGCTTATATATTTATTGATTAGAGATTTCCCTTCCCAACCTTCTACTGATTGTGAGGGAACGGGATTTGTGGTTTTGCCAAGCTGTGACGTAAACTAAAAACTCCTGACTGTTTTCAAAAGGAACAAACCCTTCAGTATGTTCCCAACTCACCGTTTCATCATTTGTAAACACTGGAAAGAAAACTGCGTGTGTCGTCAAACCTTTTCATGGGTTTTTAAGTCTATTTGATCTTTCTGTCATTGACATTTTACATCTTTATTCAATGATTGATTCAAAGTGGGACAATGTGGAATTCTTTCTCAAAGCAGATGGTTTTTGAATTGATCACAGATATATATTTATTGCTGTCAGTGACAACAATTGAGTCCATCATCTTGGCATTGCTAGCATCATACTCCATTGTTGAGCTACAAGCACGCTCATAACTATAAAAAATACTTATAGCACCCATGTCATCAAATGATTACTAAAAATGATATCCTGTGTGTTTGCAATTATTCACACACATGCTGTTAGAAACCTTCGGATATCTCAGTCAGGTGATGTTTTTCAAGGTCTCTGTACATCTGGATGATGCTGATATATTCATTTGACACGCACTGCCCCAGTTCATTCAGTCATCTCCTCACTACAGTCTGTCTGAACAACAACTGTGAACACAAATCTTAAACACACAAGACCCGAGACAACATTTTTATAGGTGGGGGCATTGAGGAGGCTAATGGGTGTTTTGTGCATGCAAATCTTACCTTTAAAGAAAAAGACAAAAGAATCTCCTCTTCGCTCCTCTCCTCCTAATTTAGGTCATATCTGGGTGTTGCACACTGCCACACAAGAGCTGTCGCCCCGGAAACCAGAGATGCCCCACAGCACTCTGGGAGTATGACTGTCACACTCACTCAGCACAGCAATTAGGGCTCAAGCACACACACACACACACACACACACACACACACAATTAACATACCTGCATCTATACTTATACACAAATGCCAAGATACCAATCCTATACAATATTCCACTGTCTGACAGTTTGAAAAGTAAGATGCAAAACATGCACACACACTTGAGTCCGTCGTATAATGATTTTGGGAAGCTAAGCTTGGAAACTTAAAAAGTGTGTTTGTGTGTGTATTTTAAGTGCCCCGTGGGGTTGGACTGGAAGGTTTCCATGGTTACTCGTTGAGGGAGATATAACGACGCTTTAAGATTCTTGTGTGTGTTTGCACATGTGTCAGTTGTGTTTTGTGTGTGTGTGTCCATTCGTATTTCTATAGGGCGTAATAATCATGAAATATGACAGATATGTCATGTGGTGGTCATCCGTATGTGTGTGCATGTGTTCCTGCCAAGCAGGATATGTCAAAACTGTCTTTTGCTCTGCTTTTTTTGTGCCTGAATTCGTTCTGCTCTGTATTTTCAGCCCTACATGTACATACGACCTACATATGAATTACATTTGAACAACAGCATGTGTTCCTGGGCTCTTTGGGGAGCCCACATTTTGAGTCTTTCAGCTCCATTGATATTGTTGAGTAAAAGTGTCTTTTTTTTTTCATTTGATGAAAATGGTATTTTAGGGCTCATTTAACTTTTATCGTACATATTGAACCAGTACATACGGTTCATATGCCTAATGTCAGATTGATATTGAATGAACTGAACAAATAGCCTTGCTCTATCTGTCTGCATATATATATATCGTTCTCTCTTTTGTCTCTCAGGTGTAACAACCGAACTCAGTGTGCGGTCATTGCTGGCCCTGATGTTTTTCCTGACCCGTGTCCTGGAACGTACAAATACCTTGAGGTTCAGTACGAATGTGTGCCATACAGTAAGTTCTCACACACACACAGATTTAAATTAAGCTTTGCACAGCATCATTATTACTATTTCTCATACTTAGGGATTTGAACAAATCTCTAACTTTAAGTATTAAACTTTGGTGCATAACTTATTGCTTTGTGCTACAGGCTATAGACATGAATTATTTCTCAAACCGTGCGGCTTGTTGAGAAAAGGTGTGCTATTACTTCTAAGAGATCTATGAATGCATCAGACTTAAAGGAATATTCTGGGTTTAATACAAGTTAATACAATTGACAGCATTTGTGGCATAGTGTTGATTACCACAAAACATAATTTGGATTTGTCCTCGAGGTTACAGTGAGGCACCTACAATGGAAGTAAAAGGGGCCAATTTTTTTGAAGATTTACAAGCAGAAATGTAAAGCTTATAATTTAATGAAAACACCTGCATTAATTCTTCTTGTGTGTATTATTTGACCTATAAAGTTATTTTTTTATCATTTATTATGGTTGTTTTAGGGTTTTTATGAAAGTTAAGGAAGTTTTCAAATTGGATAAAACATTATTTATGCCTTGTGGCGTAAGTGAGTATTTTAACATACTTTTAACAAATTGATCACATTCACTTCCATTGTACTGTAAGTTCCTCGCTGTAACCAAGATTTTTTCTTTTTTCAAGTCAGAATGGATTTTTTGGTAACTGTCAGTATGCCACTTGTATTGAAAACAAAAACTTTCTTTTAAAAAATATTTTCTATCTGGTGGGTGAAAAAATGGGTGAAAACTGTAAAAAGACCAGGAGCCTCAGGTTGTTTCAAAAAATTTTCCCATGTCAAAGTTCTATCGACAACATTTGTCGCAATATGATGAATACCTCAGAAATGATTTCTCTTTGCCCCTCTCTTTTTTTTTTTTAAATAGCAGAAATTGCGGTTTTAGAATCACTTGGAATGTGAAGATTACATTTTCTACATTAATTATTCAGTAAAAGTCAATTTATTATTTAAATTGTTCTTTTTGAGGTGGAAATACTTTCCTGGGATGAAAAGTTGTGCCTTATGATGTAATTCCGTTGTGATTCCTGTAAACATTGCTTTACAGATAGTTACGTCATGTCCCTTTCTGGTATCATTGCACATACAGTGTGATATTTAGCAGGTTTACTGGCTTTACTGAGGTTAAGTCTTCATGACAAGCAGGTTGAAATATTGGATATATCTTTAGCCAGATGGCCAGTACACAATTCACATGCCAACACATATAATGTTTAGGATGTGTGGCTGTACTTCATTCTTTTTTTTGTCTGGCCCTCTGTACTTTGTAAGTGCCTTATTTTCTTCAGTACGTGTAAAGGCGCATAGTTTTACCGTGTTAAGACAATGAATTTGAACATGTCTCTTAGCACGTGCCCATTCTGGCTGTGTTCGAACATGAAGTATTTTTAAAGCAGATTTACATCTAGATTTACCCACATATTAATCTTTTCTTTAGTTTATTGTGTCATTGCTTTACTGATATCTACTGTGCTGGAGTAAATTAATTAATGTCACAATGTAAATTAAGACTTTTCTACCTGAGAAAGAACATTGAATTAACAATTAAAAAGGACATAAGACTGACATCACACACAGCGTACTTATGAGCCTTATCCCTCATGAACAAATATAACATCTGATGTTTGCATACATGCATACCATTATGACATCCTTCATGAATAAACATGACGTCTGATGTTTGATTACGTATATACCAATGTACCATCGTGTTGCATATGCAAATATAGTCTCAAATACAGCAATTTCATTGTCGCATTAATGCGAACAAACAGTGCATGTTGACAGTCAAATTTCACAAGTTCCATTTAAAGACTTTTGGCCCCGTCCACCTTCCATAACAAAGAGCCTCAAGACCATAATAATGACTCCATTAGTTCAGGTTTTTATTCACTGTGTCACTGTCAATTTTCCATCTCAACTTGATTAGAAACTTTTGTACTTTCCTAACAGTTTAGCACTGCAGTGATTGCTACCTGGCACCTCAGATCTGTCACCAAATATGAACTCGTACTTGACAGCAAAATACAGTACATATGAATGAACTCCTGTTGCATTTATCCGCCGCTGTCCGGCCTCGTCCCATGCCATGACTCAGCCTGTCAATCATCTGAGGGCAGAGCGATGTGGTTTCAAGTTCTCACGGTTTCTGTGGGGTTGGTGTTCCAATCTGGGGTGGCCATGGCAACGGTGACGATAAATCAGTATCGTATGACTGCGGCACTGGCAGCAGGAAAAGCCTGAATACACTTACACACTTTGTCTCACCTACACACACACACACTCACACTCACATACTGATTCACAAATGGGTGGAATAGCCGAGACACTTGCACAGAGCTAAATGACACTAAGGACACGCAGGCAGGATGCACACACAGTTCTTTTTGACCTTTTGACCATAAATCGTCCTGCACATAAGGGTGGTGAAGTGTGTGTGAGTGCTCATAAGTGCATACATGTGTGTTTGTGACCATCTGGTCAAGCAAAAAGCCTAAAACATTTTTTCCACAGGCCTACTAATTAGTGGGGAGGTCCATCATACATACGGACACGCACACAAACAGTCTCACACACACAGGCAGGTAATTTAATTACTTCAGTCTTAGAAACCCTTGGGAACATGCTCCAAATGTTTTCTTGAGGTGTTTCTGGCTTTCTCTTCTCCCCTGTGATGGAGGAGTTGGCAGAACTCCAGTCAACCTTTCTGCTTTGGCCTCAATATGGGACTTCTGTTTTACCTACACGCTCAAAAACCTTCACCTCATGTAGACACTCAGTACCTGCTCCTTAGATCTGTGTGATTAACTACTGTCTTTATGGAAGGAATAAAGCAGTTTTAAATTACAGTCTAAGAATCTTGTGTCTCTGTAAGTCGTCTTTGCGGTTACTGAAGCCACGCCTTCTTTCTTTGCATGCACATTTGGGTGCATTATGCAAATATTTCCACATAGTGAGGTAGATATGTGGGGCGTGTTAGAACGAGCCGTTTTAGGGGGGCGTGGCAGAGTCTTAACTTTGATAAAGAATATCTCTTTGGTTTTGAGACTTTAGTCTTTGCAACTTCAGGGATCTTATCTATGCACAATCAGCTTGTAACACTCCAAAGAGAAAGGAAAACTTGAAATCGCATCATATGACCCCTTTAAAGGGATAGTCCACCCAAAAATGAAAAGTCTGTCATCATTTACTCGCCTCGTGTCTTTCCAAAACCATACTGCTTTTTTTCTGTGGAATTCAAAAGAAGATAGTCTAAATAGTGTTTCAACTGTTTATTCATACAAAGTAAGTCAATGGGGTCCAAAACAACATTGAACCCCACTAATTTTCATGTTTATTATAAGCGCTCGCTGCAGTTCTTTCTCATAGAATTCGAAAGATTATTAAAACTGTATAGTTTTAGTTATAGTTATCGTCTTTGGTGTGAACTGCACTTTAACCATTTGTAGGTTGATTCCTAAAACACTGCACTGCAGTTACATCCCAAATGATGTACTTAACAGTGTGCACATTTTAAATGGGCATGATATAATACTGTTAGCTTTAGTGTGTTTAGTCCTTTCCCTCGTAGTGCACTACATCTCGTTGTTTTTGCACTACTCACACTAATCATACAAAATGGCATTCAGTAGTGCAGAAGTATGTGAAGATGGACGTACCCTGTCTCACTTAACATTGCTCTGTTTGTTTGAGCTTCTCTGCCAGCCCAGCATAGCAACATTGGCTCAACCAATAGCGTGAATTTGGGGCGGGGATATCTGTTTGACTGACCAATGACAGACTGGGAGTGTTTTGGAAACCTGTTTGAAAACAATCAATATTTTTGCAGTTCTGTTTCTGTTCAGAAATCTGTTTTCTAAATACATGTTATCGATCTTTCTGTGCATAATTTACATTTAATTTCTTCTTCTTTTCCTAATTCTTTCATCAAAATGTCAATCTTCCAGGGAAATTAGATATTTCTTTCTGGTGGCGTATGTTGGACCTCTCCAATCATTTAGTCCGCTTAAACCCCGCCCCTCACTTACAATTGGCTGCAAGCTCGCATTGAGATATGCCTCCATCCAATCAACAAACGGTGGATGGAACCATGTCCCTGACATACATTTTTTTTCTTTTTCGATAATCCGCTTTGTCACACTACAGATCAAAAAATGTCACTACCTCAGTTTCATCGTAACTTTAGAAATGACTCTGGTAAACATACAGCAGAAACCTATGTTACATCACCCACATCAGCCTGTCGGTTAGTTGTGACGGATAGGGTACTAGTAGAGGAAATCGTAACCTCCCAGCAGGTCTCGACGCATCCTGTCTGTTCAGGCACTTTTTTATTCATTATCACCGACAGCCAATGACTATCTGTTATTGATCCTTTTACAATGTGACTGAAACTCGACTAAGTGTGCGTGTGGGAGACATAATTACTTCTAAATCAGATCTCCTGGAACCTCATTCACACACTCACACAGTTTCTCTCTTGTGTGGCGGCTTATTTATTGAGTGATGCATTAACAGTTCATCCTCATGCATATTTCATAGAGAAGAACACACACAGACACATACACAAAGGAACATAAATTGTTGCAACTGTCTAGATTGTAATTTTTAAAACAAGGCAAGCTCTTATTGTCATTGCACGAGTACAATGAAATTATTTTAGTCTTCCACTGTTAGTTGCGTAATATTTAAAATAAAGAAAGAAATGTAAATGTAATTAGAGAAATAAAGATGAAGATGAAAAGTATATAAAAAGAAACAAGTATAGAAGACTCCAAATTAAAAGTGTATGTAAATATAAATGTATGCAAAGATAGAAATATAACAATTTTTACATTACTAGCGTCACAAACGGAATTGCAAAAATACTAGTTGTTTTCAAACTTTTGAAACCACTCCCCCTTTTTTCATTGGTCAGCCAAGCAAATAGTCCTGCCCCTAACTCACTATGATATTGTGTCAGGCTACAAGATTCTAATATAAAAATGCAAAATTCAGCTTTAAAACTGAAGTAAAACCAAATTAGAGTGAATCATATATCTTATATGAAATAAATGTATAAATAATGATACACGTTAAGTCTGATTAAGTCTGAAATTTTGATGAAACAAACCTTATTTCTTTCTTTTTTTTGTATTCTCTCTCTAGTTTCCTTTTATGCATTCATTTTTCTGGTTAATAGGGTAATATCACATGGGCACACTATATTTGTTTTCAAAAAATTATGATCACATTGTTAATGGAATTTCTAGAGTATAAATGAAGCACATTTAGCTACTTTCGCAAGATTGGGTTAAGATACGACACGCATTACATGCATATGGAATTGAATTACTGTGTACTATTTAATATTGCATCATTAATCTGTTGTTTCTCTCTCTCTCTTTTTTTTCTTCTTCCACCCTTTTGTGAATGCAGAAGTGGAACAGAGAGGTAGGTCCATTACTTTAATGTAATTTAAGTGTGTAATTCACTGTCAGGCTGTTATGGTGTTATTTGATACTAATGACAGATTGGCGATCAGTAGCTCTTAATGGTTTATATTAGGAATGCGGAGGAGAAACTTGATCTCAGACCAAGGCTGTACTCCCTAAATTAGACCTCTATTTCTCACTGTCTCCTCTCTCTTGATCTCTCTCATTGTATCTGGTGGCTTACCATGTATCAGATGAACAGTGAGGTGTTGCCGCTGTTTAAAACTTAAGATGCCGATTGTGCTGACCACAAGACGTGGCAGTGGGAAACTGATGTCTTGCGATGTTAAAGGGATAGTTCACCCAAAAATGAAAATTATGTCATTAATTACTCACCCTCATGTTGTTCCAAACATGTAAGACCTTCATTCATCTTCAGAACACAAATGAAGATATTTTTGATGAAATCTGAGAGCTTTCTGACACTGCATAGACAGCAACGCAACGTTCAAGGCCCAGAAAAGTAGTAAGGGCATTGTTAAAATAGTCCATGTGACACCAGTGGTTCAAGCGTAATGTTATGAAGCTATGAGAATACTTTTTGTGTGCAATGAAAACAAACGTAACAACTTTATTTAACAATTTCTTATTTTCCGTGTCAGACTTCGACGCGCGTTCACGAGAGTATCATGACGCATGGCCTTGAACGTTTCAGTTGCGTTGCTGTCTGTGCAGGGTCAGGAAGCTCTCGGATTTCATCAAAAATATTTTAATTTGTGTTCCTGAAGGTCTTACGTGTTTGGAATGACATGAGGGTGAGTAATTAATGACAGAATTTTCATTTTTGGGTGAACTATCCCTTTAAGCCAATCTTAAAAGGCCTGGGGTGAATCTAGACTGTCGGACCTTAACATAATAACTTTGCAAAGCTAGAGATGATGCATGAACAGTTATCAGATTCATCAAATGGCGAGAACACTCAAATTAAGTGAATTGGTATTTTAAAATGGAGCATTTTATGTCAGGTTGCCTTGATTTGGAACAGAATGACATGCATATTACAAAGCACATTTTAAATTGACAATAACAGAAAAAATAGTCATTTTACTGTGTACTTAGGAGCCTCTCAAGGTTTTTTTCCAATACCTTTTTGCCTTGACACATTCACCGCTGGCTTCTTGATTGTAATGTTTGAAACTTTTTCTGTAAAGCTGCTTTGCAAACATATGCATTGTAAAAATGAACACGAGTTGAATTGAATGCTTGAATATGAATGTAGAAAAAAAAAATAGTAAGTTACCAAAACATTTGACAGTCACAAGTAATAATAATAAAAAAAAAAAAAAATTATTAAATGCAAATACACTTGAGTTTATCAAAGGACAAGAGAAGTTCCTGGATTGGGACATATTGTGGAAAATTAATGCATCTAAAACAATAAAAGGAAACAGTCATCCAGTAATAGTTAAAATACCAGCCACACTTCCCATGAGGATGTCCCTCATTCTGGGAACGGAATGGTGGGAAAGGGCCGCTACTATGGCAGGCTTTCTGTGTGACTGTTTGTGTGCGACTGTGTAAGTGTATCTGCATGGTTTGCAGGAGTATCATTATAAATCAAAGAGAGCGAAAACATTAGACGTTCACACACACACACACAAACACACACACACACACACAAACACACACACACACACACACACACAGAGGGTTTAGTCACAAGACTGTACATTTATAAGATATGCATGAAAGCCTGGCCTGCTGGTGGCTAACCCTGGTTTTAATCCAGTCTCAACTGTGTTTATTGGTCATTGATTTTTCACAGTACTCCAAAATGTAGTTTGAATTACCCCCAGAAAATTTTCCCAGGGTTAGAAAATACTGTTGCTATTTTTGCCAGTAATATATTGTGGGTAAGTTCACTGAAGAGAATGTTAGTATTACTACAAGCTGTAATTCTGGAGGACAAATTAAGGTTGATTTGCATAAAGCTTAACAGATGATTATTTTCGTCTTCACATTTAATGTACCAGGAATAATAGGGTGATGATTCTTAAGCGCCCCCACATAAATGTTCACACCGTGTGAATTGTCCTCAGGGTTACAGAAGTCGGTGAGACAGATTTTCAGAAACTCCTGAGGGATTCTGCAGGAGTCATGAACTATAAATCGGGTTACTAGTCATCAGATATGATTTAATAGATCTCTCTCTATCTCTCAGGCACAAAGCATGTAGCTTTCTGATAACTTTAGTTTTAGTCCATTGCAGATGTTAATGTGTTACATGGATCAGTGACATACAAGAGTATTCATAATAAAGAAAAGGAAAAATCGTTGTTAAAAAAATCTAGTTTAAAACACACACGCCATGTTCTTAGAACCTCTTTTGCCAAGTTTTAGTGCTCTTTGTATTCATGTTGGTTTTATGTAGTTTTGATTTTTTTGATTTTCAAATAATGTTTCAATCTGATGATAATTATTATAGAAATTATCATGTGATGTAACTACTGTAAAAAAAATTATATATTTTTCTTATGCCTTCGATATATCGTAATTAGAATGAAAAAAATCAATGTAAAAAGTACAAATCTTTTTTTTAACCTTTATATAGCGTTTTATACAATACAGATTGTTTCAAAGCAGCTTTATGGAAAATAATGATTCAGTGATGCAAACAAAATGCAATTCTCCTGTAAAGCAGCTCTAAAAAGACAACAGTAAACAGTCATTGTTCAGTTGAGATCAGTTCACTTGATTCAATTCGGTTCAATAACTGTGTAAAGTCCATCAACATTTGAAATCTTTACAAATATCACGAATTATTCATTTGTACGTATGATTACATTTTAGAAGAGTCACACCACGTTTTACATCTGATCTAAGGTAAAATTGTCTGATATTTTAAGAAACATATTGACCTTGACAAAGTCACGAGGGACTGTAGGAGTCCCTGTTTATTTTTTTGTGCGTATTTCTGCATGTTAGTTGCACCGCATGAATTTTTTGGTTGCACCACATGACTTAGATTTAGTGGACAAAAGTTTTTCAACTTCGATCTACGGCTAAGGATTTCTGTGCAATAATTTCAGTCTATTAATCATGCTTTTTCTTCATTAAATCGGGACAGTTGTATCGCCCTGACATTTTTGACTTTGTGTCCTCAAAATTAATTTTAATTCACAAATGAAAAACATGCTCATCATAAAAGAGAGTACAGTAGGCCATTGCATGTGTTTTTAATAAACTAACAGGATAAAAAGTGCATTTAAATATGACTAACTCACTCCCTCTCTTCCTCTTTCAGTCTTTCTCTGTCCAGGTGTATTGAGAGGTGTGTATCAGAGTGAGCACCTCTTTGAGTCGGACCACCAGTCTGGTTCATGGTGTAAAGACCCGCTACAGTCATCCAACAAGATCTACTATATGCCCTGGACACCTTACCGCACAGATACACTGACCGAGTATTCATCTAAGGAGGACTTTATTGCGGGTCGTCCTACCACAACATACAAACTGCCCCATCGTGTGGACGGCACCGGCTTTGTGGTGTATGACGGCGCACTTTTCTTCAACAAGGAACGTACACGCAACATTGTTAAATTCGACCTGAGAACTCGTATCAAGAGCGGCGAGGCGATTATCGCTAACGCTAATTACCACGACACCTCGCCGTATCGCTGGGGTGGGAAATCTGACATCGATCTGGCAGTGGATGAAAATGGACTGTGGGTAATTTACGCCACCGAACAGAACAACGGACGAATTGTGGTCAGTCAGCTGAACCCTTACACGCTCCGAGTGGAGGGCTCATGGGATACAACATACGATAAGCGATCGGCCTCCAATGCCTTTATGATCTGCGGAATCCTGTACGTAGTGAAGAGCGTTTATGAAGATGACGATAATGAAGCGTTGGGGAATAAAATTGACTACATGTACAACACAGAGAAGAGCCGTGAAACGCACCTCAGCATTCCATTCCCAAATTCATACCAGTACATCGCAGCTGTGGACTACAACCCTCGAGACAATTTGCTGTACGTGTGGAACAACTACCATGTTGTCATATATTCTCTCGACTTCGGAAACAATGACAACAGATTGGGCTTTGGTGAGTTTCCCTTTAATTTCAACTAATTTGTGCCACACATTTTCTCTAATGTGACAATTTTGAATCCACTGGTAACTGAGTCACAACGTTGCATTTAATTAGAATTAACTCTTTCCCCGCCGGCATTTTTTAAAGAAAGTTGCCAGCCACTGCCAACATTTTTGTTCATTTTTACAGAATGTTCATGGCCCCCAGAATATGTTGTTGTATGGATATCTGAACATGCAAAATGTCAAATGAAAGAACAGAGCCTCTGCTTTAAAAAAACAAAACAAAACAAAACAAAAACATTTTATTCTAGCTTCAAGCATTTTTTTTGTTTCATGAAAAAAGCAACATTTCAAACAGCAATTTTGAACGTGATCACTTGTTTCTGCTTCTTCTTCACCGTGTTTTGATCAGAAGATGTGTAATAGCGCCTCCTATCATATAACAGTGAAAACACGGAAAGTCGGAAAATTCCGTCAATGGCGGGGAAAGAGTTAAAAATACGGTTACACTTTATTTTAAGGTGTCCTTGTTACAGTGTAATTATACATTTAAGTACTGAGTAATATTAATTAACTACATGTACTTACTGTAGGGTTAGGATTATTTAGGGTTAGGATTAGGGCATGCAATTATGCATAATTAATTGTTATTATAATAGAAAGTACGTGTGTAACAAGGACACCTTAAAATAAAGTGTTACCAAAAATACTTTTACATTTATGAAAGCATTTTGTGATCTTAGGTGTTTGAGCTCATTTGTTTGAGCACTCCAAGCAATCTCGGGATGATTTAATCTATCTGTGAACCCCACATATTAACTGAATTAATTAAAAAGAACAGTTAAAAGAATGACGAAAGTAGTCCAAACATTGTGTGTGCTACAGTGTCTTTGGGAGTAGTTTTTGTGGATCAGGATCAGATCAATATTGAGGTCTTAATACTCATTGTACTATAATGTTCCCCTCCAGAACTGAGTTTGTGAACAGGATCAGTTAACAAATAGTTCTGTTGAGCAGTTTCTTTTTAGAGAACCATTCAATCCAGTTCAAAGTCCAGACTGAGTGATTTGTTCATCAAACAGACGGATTCATTTGGGGAAGACTGTCAGTGAATCAGTGAATAATGGCTGAAAGATTGGTCTGTTCATCAAACAAGAAGACTTGGAATATAGCAGAAGGACTGATTTTTTTGGTGTGGGTGAGCAAATAAAGACAGAATTTTCTTTTATGGGTGAACTGTCCCTTTAAACGTGCGCCGTCAGGGGTGAAATGTATTGCTCCCCCACAGTCTAATTTATTTTAGAAGTATTGTACTACTCTGTGATTGTCAGTCACAGATCTACTTTGAAGAACTAAACTGGCAGAGTTGGAAAGCCCTGTCATTTTCACTCACTCGTACAAGTATTCAGGCCAGTGATAAAAGAGACCTTCAGGATTTTCCCCCTGACTTACATTTTCAGAGAATGTTATTGTATAGGTTATCAGAGTCCATTAGTCAGGTTGTTTTTCACTTTGTTTTATTCCTTCTTCACATTGAGAGCTGTATTGTATTGCGATTTTAGTCAGCTTGCCAGCTGAATTAATCATTATCTACAGCGTAAACAGTTATCATCTACTGACATCCCTATTAGAGCAGAGCAGGGCAGAGTCTATCTCTTTGCTTTTAACTGGGTCCAAATGGAGCATATTGTATGAGATTTGCTTAATAAATTGCGAATAGATTCTTACATGCTCTGTCAGTTTATTACAGAACAGCTCACAGAGCAAGCAAATACTAAATGCAGCTAATACACATTTCAACTCTGAATATTTATACGTTTCTGAAACCCACACACTGATTCGTGCAGAATTTAGTAATTCATTTTCAAAACAAATCTCTAAAGGTGTAAACAACTTAAAAAAATACAGACATCATCTGCAGGTGTAAATATATGTACTGTAGGTGCTTGTTAATGACACCGCCTGCATGCATTTTCTTTATTAACATACTCCACATCAAAGATCTTGTAAAGCTTGAGTTGTTAGCCACCTAAGCTAATGCAGATCAGACGCTGTCTAGTGGTATATCAAAGAGAATATTGCTATAACAACAGCATCTTTGTGTAGTTCAGCGTTTAATTAAATGTTATCTTGGTTTAATTAGTTTTTCATTTTGTCAGCACGTCAGCTTTTAAAGAGAAAAACAGAAAAAACAACAACATTTTGTCAAGCACAGCAGAGGAGAGGATGCTCTAGAATAAGAGGCTTGGTGCAAGATTTAACGCCACGATTCTTAATAAATTAACAATCCGCTCATAATGGAAGCGACGCGGTCCTCCATAAAATGTGCTGCACACATCTGAATATTTGGGTTGAAGTGTTCTGGAACAGTGTTGTAAATACAACTTAACCACTGATTTCTAGTCGTGTCCTCTTTTGGAAGGCCAAACAAAGTAGTTTCGCTTTCACAACGAAACACAGCGTCACACACGGTGGGCTTGAGTGAGCAGAGGCGGCGGGCTTGAGAACGGCGCGGTCGGCAGATTCGACGAAGGAGCGGCAACCACATGTGACGACCCCGGGCTGGACTCGGCTTCGTCCACGGTGAAAGCCGATCCGGCGATCCACAGCGCGAAGTTGATGTATTTCCTCAGCGACCAGCACGGATCAGCTCCAGGCATGACGAAGCGGATATCGTCCTCTTTTGGAAGACCAAACAAAGTAGTTTCGCTTTCACAACGAAACACAGCGTCTTCACGACATGGCGGCGGCGGCAACAACAATACTACAGCGAGAATAAAAGTTACGCCTTCTTTCTTTGCGTGAACATTTGGGTGGCGTTATGCAAATCTTCCCACATCGTGACGTAGATATGTGGGGGCGTGTTAGAACGAGCTGTTTTAGGAGGGCGTGGCTGACTCTTAACTTTTATAAAGAATATCTCTTTGGATTTGAGACTTTAGTCTTTGCAACTTTACAGATCTTCTTTATGCACCAAGAGCTTGTAACACTCCAAAGAGAAAGGAAAAATTGAAATCGTATCATATGACCCCTTTAATAAATAAAGTGTGACCAATAACCTTTTAACAATTAATGGTTCAACTCTTTTGACCCTTATTTTTGGTTTGTTGCCACAAACACAGACTGCCTTATAAAGTGTTGCTGTCATAGCCATAGATTCCCCCCAAATACAACAGTTACTAGAGTTATTGTTACTACAGTAGTAACTTGGTATTATCATAAGTCCCTGTTGTAGCGTGTCGGTTCACTCTGCAGTCATTGTGTCAATGCCCCAGGGCAGCTATTTTCAAGTCACGCAAGTACACCTCCAATCTACTGGAAAGGGAAAAGACTGAAATGTCAAAAACGATGTGCCATTTCGATAACATATGGCAGTTCGACAATAAAAAAAAAAAAGACAGCTGTGCTTAAATCAGTAAGCAAAAATGTATTTTTTAGGTTTGCCCAGCTCAGGCGCATTCAGAGCAAAATGAGCAAGCAATGCCAACAAGCCGATTACATCTTTTTATTGAATGGCAGGACGCCATATAGAGTGTTACAATTTTTCTCTTTTATTGAATGGATTCTTAAAATGTCTTGCTCTGTTTAATGCAGAATGCATATTCATTTCCTATGTTTTCATAACAACATCTGCAGTTTCTGTGATATTTTGACGGAAATGAAGGATACTATAGTAAATGTAAATGCTTGCACCTGCTGAACCCCCCACTTTTAATGTGAGTTAGTTTTATTTAATTACTTTTTTTAAGTAATTTTTATAAAAGTTTTGTTTGGGTTTTATTTTTAATATTTATTAATGAAGTTTGACATTCTGAATACGAAAATCTCATGACTTTTTGTGTATCATTAACAGTGCTCATGAAAACTGAAAAAATATGTTGACAGCTTATGGAAGCTACTCTGTTTTTACTCATGCATAAAAATGACATGCTACATGCATAATATGAGCTATCAACAACAGTTTGACATAAACAGTTAGCAGTCGTCAAAAAAGTGAGTTGGTCAAAACTTTTTCTCTTTTATGACTGGGATGTTTCAGAAAGCACTAGAATAATACAGAATATTCCAGAAACTTCTAGAATGTTCCCATCCTTGCAAAAGCAAAATATCTGCAAAATTAGTGCAAAAACTTATCTGTACTAAACCAATGGTTCATAATTAATGATAGAAGTTCTGAAATTTACCTGACCTGAATATTTACCAAAATATTGATGCTACGTGAAAATAAATAACACAATAATAATTAGCACCACATAATTACAGAAGAAGAACAAAAAAAAAAAAAAAGTTAAACAAATATTGTGTTACTAGTTAGTATTAAGTCTGCACAAAATAAAATGAAAAAAAAAAACCACAACTATATTTCCATGTGTAAGTAAGAGTGCTATCATATTGAGTGCAGCAGTTTTAATAGCTGACACTGTTTTATCAACTATAAATAGTATAAGTATAAGTTTCGTATGTGTGCTGCATGTCCCTGAACAAAGTGTGTTTCTCTTGGAAGAGTTTAAGTGCTTGTGAAAGCTCTATCATTCAGGTCAGCTGGGAGGACAGTGAAGGATTCAGATCTCCAGGAACAGTAAAGAGAGAAGATGAAAAGACTGAAAGAGAGAAGATTTGCCTGCGGTTATGTGCTTTCCTTTCCTCTTTGTATCTTTGACTTTCTCTTGCTGCTTCTTGATTTCTTTTTCTTTTTATAGCTCTCTCATTGTCACTCTTGGGTGCAAATTCAAGCTTTTGCGCTACTTTTTTTGGCTCAATATTTCAGCACAAACCTGCATTTTATTCGCTACCACGAATAATTCAGATTAACCGTCCACAAAATGCACTTGAACAGCGCTGCTGCATTGTGAAGCGCTATTAAGGCCTGATGTTCAGCATGCAAATTCAGTCTAATTTTTGCATTAGATTTGTCTGTTCAGACCAGTGCGTAAAAAACGGCAGACGGGCTGAATGAAAATGCACATTTAATCTCAATAGGTGGCAGAAATATCCCGCAACTTTCTCTGA